CTCAGAGACAGCAGGTGACTTTCCAGATGTAAAAGATACAGACATTGAGTCAAGTGAAGGAAACCCGTCAAGTCCTCACATGTAACCAGCACCCACCCCCACCCCATCATCTTCCTGAGACAGTGGTGCCTTTTGCATGTACAGACACTTATTTCCATCACCTCCGTGTGAGTTTCTCAGTGAGGACATTGCCATTTTGGCAGAACAATTCTTTGTCAAGGGAGACTTTACCACACTTTTAGAAAGTTCTGCTTCTCAGTGTCTACCTTCCAGATGTAAAAGATACAGACATTGAGTCAAGTGAAGGAAACCCGTCAAGTCCTCACATGTAACCAGCACCCACCCCCACCCCATCATCTTCCTGAGACAGTGGTGCCTTTTGCATGTACAGACACTTATTTCCATCACCTCCGTGTGAGTTTCTCAGTGAGGACATTGCCGTTTTGGCAGAACAATTCTTTGTCAAGGGAGACTTAACCATACTTTTAGAAAGTTCTGCTTCTCAGTGTCTACCTCTGTGTTTCCCCAGTCCTTGTGACAACCCAACATGTCCCCTAGGCCAGCGGTCACCAACCTTCCGGACCTCATGGATCACCAGTGGTCCACGGACCACCGGTTGGCGACCACTGCCCGAGGCGGTCACACACCCTCCCTTTTGAGAATCACCGGGTGATCCTCCCTGAGCTAAAAGGGAAGCCATCTCATCAACCCACAACTTTACTACCAATATTTACATTTGAGAAGAGAACTTCTTTTCAATCCAAATGGCTAATAAATACATGATAAGGAAGCCTAAGTTGAAACCTTAATGAGATCACACTACCCTTCTTTAAGAATGACTAAAATGAAAGAGACTGACAGTGTTTTGACAAGGATATGGAGTAGTTGGTACCAGAAATGGAAATTGGCATAGTCACTTTGGATAAGTATTTGACAGTATTTATCAAAGTAAACATGGGCCTTCTCTAGTGACACAGAAATCCAACGTCTAGATACAGATACAAGAGTAATGAGTGCCCAGGTTTACCGAAAGACACATATGCCAATGGTCACAAGAGCGTTGTTAAGGATAGCCAAAAACTGGCATGAATAAATTAATTTTGATAGCTTCACACAATAAAATATAATATAGCAGTAACAACATTGATGAATCTCACAGATGTAATAATAAATGAAAAAGTCACACCAGAGATCATATACAATATGATTGCCTTTATGTGAAGTTCACAAACAGGCAGGTCTAATCAATGGTGATAGAAGTCAGAGTAGTAGTGACCTGTGGGGGCAGAGATGTTGACTGGGAAGAGGCATGAAGGAGCCTTCTCAGGCAATAAACATGTTCTGGGTGGTGGTTACATAGTGCACGCACACACACACGTACATATTTATGCATGCATATACATTCGCAATATGTATATGTAAAATTCATCTAGTTTGATATACTTTTCTGTACATACATTTTTTAAAAGTCGGAAATTTAATTTCTAATTTATGGTGCTTTAAAGAATATGATAAAAATAAATTGAGGCAGCTGAGGGAAATGGGAGTTCTTCCGGAAGCCGTGAAAGTGTGTCATGAAGACAGGGTCATGCTTCTGGGTTACTGAGGCCAAAATTAGGGAGTTGGTGTGGCCGGTGCTGGTGGCGCTAGCTGATTAGTGATAGCAGGAAAAGGGAGGGCTTTACACGATTCCCCTTTCTCATGCATTTTTCCACTCATTCCTGTCTATAGGCATAGTTATGGTTGTTGTTTATAAGTCTTAATTCCTGTCCTCCATTCCCATGGCATCATGGCTGAGGCAATGGGCAATGATGAGGAGAGTCAAAGAGGGCACAGGCAATGATCATGCACCAGGTGTTTATATGTCGGGGCAAAACCCCTTCCCTGTAACCTCCAGCCCACAGGGAGGCTGGGACAGTATGTTAAAGAAGCAAGGGGAGATTCTGGGTCCCTGGAGGCGAACCAGGAATGTGTGGTGGTGCAGCCAGTGAATAGAAGGAGAGGCCACTCTGAGAAAGAGGAAGGCCGGTCATTGCACCTCAGTGGGGACATGAGCAGAACGGAAGAGAGGAGGTTTTGTCCAGCCTTCTTGACCACAGCTGACTCGTTACCCAAACTTGAGGTTTAATTTGGGACATACAATAGGGCCTTTGCTCATACGATGTAAGCCCCAACTGGACTTGGCACTCTTTCTGGTCCTTCATGGTGGTTTTCCTAAGAAGAATAATTTACAGGGCAATATTGTTAATTATATGCTGTGCATGAATGTGTATTTCAGCCCAACACACTGTGATAAGGAATAAGACGGTCAGGTGCTGGGCCTTAGGCTGCGCCAGGTGTAATCTAGCTGACCAGTTTCCAGCCGGACCCAAGTTGGGATGCTGTAGAGCTGATACAACGAATGTTTTAATTTGTCACTTGAATGTCATTGAAAAAATGTATTTTGTCACTAAAATGAAATTAAAAACTGCATGTGTTGGATAAACTATGGCTATATAGATACCTAAGGCTACTTAGAATAGGAACTACAAGCAAATACTGATTTATTGAGGGCTGTATGTGCCTTTTTATGTGACAGTTCTGCTAGTAACATTTTGCTGCCAATGTGTTGTTATAATTTAGAAAATTGATAGTTTGGGATCCTTAATAAAAGCTTTATTAGAATTAATGATAGAAGGAAATGAGAATTATTTAAAAAGGAAATGCTAATAGCCAAGTCTGTTAACCATTGAGCTTCGTACACCAAGATACAAATGACTGCTAATTTTGAAATTGTCACATTCTGCTTTTGCTTGTTAATTAATTGCCGTTGCAAATGACTCTATAATCTTTCTTTTTAAAGTCAGCACATTTTTTTATCTCTCATGTTCCAATTAACTTTGGTTTCCCTTTGGATCACTGTCTTAGTCCATTTGGACTGCTGTAACAAACACCACCGACTGGGTAGCTTATAAACAACAGATATTTAGTGCTTGGAGTCCTAGAGGCTGGGAAGTCCAAGATCAAGGCACCAGCATGGTCTCCTTTTGCCAAGGGCCCTTTTCCGGTTGCAGGCCTCCCCCTTGTCCTTACATGGAGGAAGCGACTGGGAATCCTCTGGAGCCTCTTTGCAAGGCACCGTTCCCATTTTGAGGGTTCCACCATCTAGACTTCAGCACCTCCCAAAAGCCCCGCCTACTGATACCATCACCTGTTGGTACTGGATTTCAACAGATGAATTTGGTCTGAGTGAATTTCAAACATTTGAACCAGAGCAACCACCAGGCAGATGACCTTAAGTCTCCGTTTCCAGCTCTGGTTTCCTTTCGCTTCCTGAATTTTCCTCCCCTGCTGCTGGATATTTATACTTGGGTATCCCAGTGTGACCTTCGCGTGTAGCGCTGATCTCTTCATCTACCTCCTTCCTCCTCAGAGCTTTCCACAAAACCAAAGATGTCTTCCTCTTTTCTGGGATTAGAAGCCTCCCAGGCACCTTCAACTCCTTTCTCTTTGGGGGCCAAACACCAGGCACTGTCAATGTGTGTGTGTGTGTGTGTGTGTGTGTGTGTTTAATCTTTACTCCTTTTCTTCTTGATTATTCTCATGGTCACCAACCTGGCTTGTCACCATTCTCATACTGGCATTGCTCCTTCAGTGATCCAACTTTTAATCTTTTCTCACCAAGCCATGTGGGTTTGGTGAGACCACATGAATTTCTCCAGAGCCTGCCTTTGATGATGTCTTCCCTCCTGCTTAGAAACCTTTAGTGTAGCTCCCTATTCTCAATAAAATGGAACCCAAACCCAGCCTGGCTTTAACCAGCTCTCTTTCCAGATATATACTTTCCCAAAACTTCTTTTATAGCCAATGGTTTGACTCACAATTTCCTGATGTCCCTTCCCTTATCCGGTCTCTGTGTTTATGCTCCTGCATCCACCCTCAGAGATCACTCATCTTCTACCCAACTTCTTCCCAACTTCAGTGCCCAAAGTCTTACCTGCTTTTCAGTACTGCCGTCTCCTCTACCCCCAACTTCCTCTCCTAGCTCTTCCTGTGTATACAGGCCATTTCATACTTTAACTTCAAGTTTATGACCTTTCCTCTAATTGTGATAACTTGAACTCATTATCACTTCTTGAATTTTTTGCATAGCTGTATGTATGACTAGATTGTCAGTGTCTCCAGGGTGAACTGTTTGCTTCCCTGTAAGCTCTAGAGTACCTAACATACACTCACAGTAAAAAGGTAAGCTCTGTGAAGGCCGGAATCTTTTGTCAGTTTTGTGCACTGGTAAATCCCTAGTATCTAGAACAGCACTGGATACATAGTAGGTGCCTAATAAGTATTTGTCATATAAAATTGTAGATGTTCGATAGCTTGTGATTTCATTTTAGTTCATTCACACCTGCTGCATTAAAAGGTGCTAGCATCTGGCTGGCATGGCTCAGTGGTTGAGCATCAACCTATGAACCAGAAGGTCATGGTTTGATTCCTGGTCAGGGCACATGCCCCAGGTTGCGGCCTCGATCCCCAGTGTGGGGGTGCAGGAGGCAGTTGATCAATGATTCTCTCTCATTATTGATGTTTCTATCTCTCCCTCTCCCTTCCTCTCTGAAATTAATAAAAAATATTATTTAGAAGATACTAGCATCTCTTATTTACTACTAGAGGCCCAGTGCATGAAATTTGTGCACGGGCAGGGTCCCTAGCAGCTGCTGGCTGCCAGCCAGGGCCTCCCTTCCCTACTGCCAGCTGCTGGCTGGGGCCTCCCTTCCCCAGCTGCTGGTTGCCAGCTGGGGCCTTCCTTTGTTCCACACTGCCCCTGGTGGTCAGCGCATGTCATAGTGAGTGATCAAACTCCCAGTTGGTCAAACTCCTGAGGGGACACTTTGCATATTAGGCTTTTATATATATAGATAACCAAGAGATTATGATGAAAAAGAAAGTGAATGCAATTTATAGCCAGAATCTGTCCAGCAATGGGTGAACGCTCCTTCTAAAAGAGTTGTGTTTTCCTGCAGATATTAATGAATGCCAGCTACAGGGTGTGTGCCCTAATGGTGAGTGTTTGAATACCATGGGCAGCTATAGATGTACCTGCAAAATGGGATTTGGGCCGGATCCTACTTTTACAACTTGTGTTCGTAAGTAATGATCACTTCTTATTCTCATTTTGGACCAGGGGTTGGGTGGGAGGTTATCCAAAATAAGGTAAATATTCAGTGGTTAACTGAATACTGTACAGATGCAGAAAAAACCTCATTAAAATGACCAGAGGGAGGAAGCGGGGCTGACATATTACAATAAACCTATGTTACAGAACCAAAATGCATTTTTATTGCATTCAGAAAAATATAATAGCCAAAAGTCAAGGTAAAGAACAAGCACGCTGAGGAAATGGATTTGATGAAGAAAAGAGAGTTTATTACAGTGAACATACCTGAGAGATGAAAAGGTTTTTCCTTCACGAGTATTTTAAGCATTATTTAGGCTGAGTTCAACTTTCTCCCAGCTTCTGTTTTTAATTAGTCCAAATTCTGAGTCACTAGTGTTTGATTTAATGAGGTTTCACTGTACTTTCTTAGTTGGAGAGTCTGGGAAATAGTTTTGGATATTCTATTCCGTTGTCCTCAAAAGCCACCAAAATGCATCCCCGAAGTTATACTGTTTTGCCTAGTAAATGTTGTCTCTAAAATTTTCTCTTGTATCTGGTGTGGGTAAAAATCCTCCATCAAACCACATATGCTAGTATTGGACAGAAAATATAGTTTCTCTGAAAACTCTCTCACCACGAAATAGAATTCAGTGTAAGCTCTGCATCACCTGACAATTAGAGATGCAGGCATTTTAGATACAGAATTCTCAAATGCAGATTTTTAAAGGTTATCTTTTTTTAAAAATATCCTTGTGCTCATTATTACAATGTAGATAAGCAATGCAGATTTTTCAAAGCCGTATAAACTAAAGTTTAAGCCTTTTAAACTAACATATGGCAGAAAACTATTAGGACAATTTTAAGAACAATTCTGTATGAATTCTGTCCTGCAAAGTTTTGTTCTTATTTATCTGTTTAATGTGGCTTTGATATGTACAGCTGCACACTTCTGGGCCCCAGTTTTAAACTTGGCATTTGGACAAGACCTGCTCTTCATGATGATACCATCCTTTGTTTTCAACTGTGCATTTACCTCTAACTCTGTGCCCTAAGCTGAGACCATAGATAAGAAAGACAAGTGTCATAAAATAAAAATGACAAGCTCATTCACTACTTTTAGATGAGTTTGTTGAGTCTTTGGGAACATTGTTACTAATTACTACTATTTTCCTTTAAAAACTGCCAAATGCAGATTAGGAAATTTTGCACGTAAGTTCTTTTTTTCCATGTTCTTTCACATAATTCTGATCACAAGCAGACATACAGTTATAAAGCATTTTAGCCAGTGGTAAAGTTAGATTGTAAAATTATATTTGCATATGAGGCATGTTTGAAAATGGACGCAAGTTTTTGGAAATTTCAGGCCAAAAATCACATTGTTGACAATATCCAGAAAATTTAGAGATAATTTCTGGTTGATGTTAATTACATGAGTCAATATTTTAAATAGCTTTATAATTTAAGTGTAAAAGATTTTTCAGAGTTTGGATATAAAATTTGTTGTGAATGTTTTTATTTCCTTAAATAATTTGACTTGTCTTGTTGAAATCACTACATTTAAGGTTGCAGATTAGTAAACTTGGAGAACTGGTCGCAAAGTATTTTATTAAACTTTGACTAGATCGGATGTCTAGTGTTAAGGGCAGACATCCAGGTTTTAATAAGATTGTTGAAATTTGCCAATGAGATTTTTGAAACACATATTTCCTTAGCATTTATTTTCCCCTGTCATTGCCCAAATAATACTGAACTTATTAAACCACCATCCATTCTTATTTGAAAAATAATTCAATTTTATGGTTCAGCTACAACAGCTGAAATGATAACTACTGGAAGACGTTTGTTGCTAGTTAAATGTTCCAGTTTAGAGTTTGAAGTTATAACCTGGGCTCTGTACCAGTATTGAGTGGGCAGATTTATTTCTCTTGCCTTGGAATTTACCAGGTGTAACATCGCAGAGATATGTAGAGTCTTCAGGGTTTGTGACTTGGTTCAATCCAGTTGGACTTGCTGGTGAACTAGATTTTGATAAAATTGATGGGGAAAATCTGAAGACAGATGAGAAGAATCAGGGAAGAAGGTGATGCTTACAGAGTAAGGAAAAAAAAATATTGGCAAGATGGTACCCTCAGTGGTTTTGGGGGTGTAGCAGAGCAGGGAAGAAGGTGATGCTTACAGAGTAAGGAAAAAAATATTGGCAAGATGGTACCCTCAATGGTTTTGGGGATGTAGCAGAGAGTGGGGTCACACACACACACACACAGTAGCTGCTGGGTTAACATTTAGAATACTAGAGGCCAGGTGCACAAATTCGTGCACGGGTGGGGTCTGGCCGGCCTGCCTGGATCGGGGCCAATAGGGCCAGGCCGGCCAGCCAACCCCGCCCCCTAGTCGAACTCCCAGTCGAGGGGACAATTTGCATCTTAGCCTTTTATTAAATGGGATACCTTCTTGAGGGGTATAGAAGCAGCCATGGATAAGAGCCTGCAAGCCAACTGAGGGAGATTGACTACATTTGTTCAGACAGCATGAATTTAAGGCATACCCAGGCCATAAAAGGTGTGGCTGACTCTGTGAACTCAAAGAAATGCACTTGGCAACAGCTGAGGAGCAATGGGAAGCTCTCCCTGTTCTCGAATGCACCCTCCGAATTCCTTGACTCCAGCCAAAGGTTGCAACCATTTCTCTTTCTCTCCTTGCCCGCTCTCTGTCCTTGACTTAGCCAAGCTCAGAGAAGAGAAGTGGGAGGGTTCTGGCATTTGCTGCCTCTTACCTCTCTGTCGGTGTAGCTCAGGATGCAGCAGCAGTGTTCTCCAGGCCTGCTCCTACCTACATCTGGGGAAAGGTGAAATTTTAGGACATGTCAGAGCAAATCCAAGAAAAAGTATAATACCGTTTTGCAGTTGGAGTGGGAAAACTTTCTGACCTGAGCGGCAACTAATTTTCTTCAAGAATTCAGGAGCTTCAGGATGAGCACTGCAGAGGGTGTGTCTATAGGTTCAGATAAAAGAATTCTGAGCCTGGTCTTTGCTGCTTCATAGTCTTCTTGAGCCATGGGCTTGGTGCTAACTGACAGAAATAAAGGGTTACAGAGAAGATGTGCTCAGGAATTTCGGCCGGAACCCTGGAAGTCATGAGATGAAGGACACATCCCTTCAAAGCCAGCATGTTTATGCACATCACTTCATTTTAATTTTCCTAGCACCTTTATGAGATAGGTATTGTTCTCATTGTACACATTGGGGGACTGAAGTTAGGAGAGTTTAAGTAACTTCTCAAGGTCATACAGCTAGTAACTGACATTGGAGGTTGAAAACTGGGTTTTGTGCCTCCCATTTTAGGGTCCTAGATCAAGTTCATGATAATTATCCTTCACATTTTAATTGATATTAGAGCAGCATGTCTTTGAAAGTATAGTCAGAATGTATAGTCAGAATTTATTGTGCGACCCTATAATGTTACCATGGCAACATTGGAAGAGTCTGTAGTGTTGCCCAACACATGGTGGGCACTGAGTTTGATGGCCCGGCCGTCTGCTGGCAAAATTCTCTCTTTTTGGGGGAGATCAATTTCTTTTGGGGGAGATCAGATTTTTTTTTCATATGGATGAGGCCCACCCACATTCTAGAGAGTAATCTGCTTTACTCAAAGTCTGCTACTTTAAATGTTAATCTCATGTACAAAAAAAAATCTTTATAGCAGCATCCAGACCTGTGTTTGACCAAATATTTGGGTACCATGGCCTAGCCCAGTTAAAATGACCATAAAATTAACCATCATAACCAGTCATAGTGACTTCCCTTAAGCTATATTGCTGGCAGGTGGTAGACCTTTTCACTCTGCTACATAGCATCTCGATTTAATTGGGATGTTTCTTGTAGCATCTACTGAGCTGTCATATGTGCCCTTTCTACCCAGCAGAGGGTGTAACTGTTAGATTCAAGAAGTCTTATCTACTAAACTTACAGTAGATTTAGGAATAGGATTTAGGTGTTGGATGAATGTAGGCTGGTGTGCTTTTGCAATGTTTTTCTTCAGGGTTGAGCCCATCATCTGCTCCTTCTCTGATCTGCCGTCCAACTGGACCAGGAGTCCTGGTGGCACTGCAGGTCAGAGGATTTGCTGCTGCCATTCCCCTGTTCACCGTCCTAGGGTGAAATCTGATGGGGCTCTGCAAGCTCTCACTGTCCTCCAAGCAAAGAGAGCAACAACAGCTGGCGTGCAGCATCAACTATGTTCAGTTTGTGAGCTTCCATAGTGCCTGGTTGCTCACCAAATTCTTCCCTAGAACGTTATGGCCATCTACAAGAAAACAGCTGCGCTGTAGTGATTCTGATAATAGGTGATGAGGCTTATTTGAGCAGGTAGATTTTGGGTGAAATTGTTTCTGTTCACATTTAGGCCCACGTACCTGATTTAATGCTTTTTCTAAACTAGAAGAAGGGACTGAACTGGAAAACTCATTTGGTAAACTGACTCTAAATGAAGAAAGGTTTTGTCCTAAATCTAGAAGGATATATTCGGAAGTATGGTTTCTGATCCAGACTCTATGGTTATTTTTACTATTACGTGAAAAGTCCATCTGGTTTTTGTTGTTTCTTGGGTGACGTCGGGCCTTGTCTCTCTGCTTCAGCGGATACCCCTGTGATCTCGGAAGAGAAGGGGCCCTGTTACCGACTTGTCAGTTCCGGAAGGCAGTGCATGCACCCTCTGTCTGTTCACCTCACCAAGCAGCTCTGCTGTTGTAGCGTGGGCAAGGCCTGGGGCCCCCACTGTGAGAAATGTCCCCTTCCAGGCACAGGTAAGATATGCTCAGCTGTGCACTCACGTTCATTCCCGGCCACATCAGTACACGGGACAACTTTGACAGCTAGAGTTAATTTTTGTCTCTGATTCTAAATTTAGTTTTTAATAATACAGCGTGTTTTTGTCACTTCTGTAGAAACCATGAACATAGAAGGGTGAACTGTAAAAAAATTACATGCAAAGAGATTTCCAATTCTGTGTAACATTAAGCTTCCTTTTCAATGTTAAGGATATCATTACTATTGATCATCACTTCTGGGACTCTAAGGCTGCTGTTTAAAAGTGTAGTGAGATCAGAAGGCCCTGCTGGGCCATGCATTTTCCTAATGATTGGCCGCTCACCACTTGCACAGTAATTAGACCTTGTGTAGGTTGCCTCATTCATTCATTTATTGATCATGTGCTTGTTAGGTTCTGTTGTGAACATTGTGTTTAATTTCTTCAATTAGAAATGGAGGTAATTTCAGTAACTCAAGGGTGGACCCTGCCAAAGTCTCCATGAACTTCTAGGTGGGAGCTGAATATTAAGAAGTTGATTAGTCTTTATCCTTCAATTTGGTACATAATTGCCTAAATCCCCCAAAGAGTAAATCTGTATAAGTGCCTTAATTTTACCAAGAAGTGACCAATTTCTCATACAGGGTCAAGCAGAGTTAAATGAAATAGAAAGAAACATACCCTGCAAATACTGGATACCATGATATTATCAAAGAAGGAGTGGCCGCCATGTCACTGGTGTAGGGTGGACATAAAAAGTTTGCTCAGTTGCATATTTGAGAAGATGCATAAATTTTCACAGGGCCATTGCAATCTTAAAGCCATAACTTATACTGTAGCAGACAGGGTTAAATGTAAATATAAATATTATGATCCACTTTTGGTAATGGGTAAGGTCAGAAAGAACTGGTAAGGCACAGGATAGTATAATGTTGATGGTATTTTGGTAGACCAGATAATTTTAGACATCTCCAAAAGGTCCTATTTTTCTCATATATGATCTGATCCACTCATTATTAAAAAGTAATAATAAAAAATAAATTATCTTTATAATTCATAGATACATTTCTCTTTTAAGTTCAATTTTGGTAGCTTTGTAACCTTTACATGAAATGTAAATCAAGATGGTGAGTATCATGCTGGGAGACTTCTCCCTAAAATACAATAGCTAAACCTGAAAATAATATTTTTACACTTAGCCAATTTGGTTATGTGGTGATTTTCATAAAAATAATATTTAGGTCATCAGTACTTTAGCTATTTGATAGAATACCATGTTTCCTTCTGGAAACATCTATTCTTTCAAGTAAGAACTCTATTTCATAGTTAAACGTAAGAATGAGGTTCCACCATTCAGTGTGTGATCCTTATTAAAATAATGTTTTAGCATGCTTTATGGTGTATTTTAGAGTTTCTTTTTCATTGGGAACTAATTTTAGGTCCATTTCATTCAATAGGAAATCTTTGGTTCAGTGGAAGTACTAAATGACTGATTTTACTTTCAATTTTACAAGTAGAAAGAAAAATGTTGACCATAAGTTCCTTGGTGTCTGCATTTGGTAACTTGCCTCCCATACCAACACCAAAGGGATTAGGTGAATTTTCCTCCTTGGGCCCCACACTGCCTTGCCTCCCTAGTCTTTCCTCATTACGTATTTCTCAGGATTATGCAATGGAGGTCAGAAACTCACACGTGGCCAGTCTACTTTTTTTTTTTTAACTCTACGAAACCACTTTGCTGGGGTGGATAGTGATTCTAGGCACAGAATATCCCCTGTCCTCTGGATAATTTAGCTATCTGCTCATGGTCAGGCTTTTGCCCACGTATCATCCCTTCCCATGAATATAAGTATATGTTAATGTGGCAGATCCTTTTTAAAATACATATATTGATTTCAGAAAGGAAGGGAGAGGGAGAGACAGAAACATCAATGATTAGAGAGAATCATTGATTGGCTGCCTCAATGCCCACTAGGGATCGAGCCTGCAACCCAGGCATGTGCCCGAATTGGGAATCGAACCGTGACCTCCAGGCCCATAGGTCAATGCTCAATCACTGAGCCACGTCAGCTGGGCTGTGGCATGTCCTTTCTAAACTGGATTCCTACCCATCATCTCTGTAGCATGTCTTAATGCACTGGGTTCCTCCCCACTGTCCTGAGACTCTTCAAGTACGCTTCCCCTTTTCAGTCCTTCTTAACCGACCTCTCCATGTCAGCTCATACACTCCATTCTGGCTGATTCCTTTGGGTTCCTCAACTGGAAACAAATTATGACGATTTCAACCCCTCATTTCCCTGAATAGTGATTTTTTTTTTGCCCATCATCTAATTTAGAGAGATGTTACTGAGTTTCTTGTTAATAATCAATGAAATTAACCCATAGCAGAAGGAAAAAAGCCCAATTTTTGTTGATATTACACACATCTCCAATAAGATATATGTTATATAGTGTCTTTTATACATACAAATCTAATATATTACATATACTTAATATGTGTAATATATGTGATATGTAAAATATTAATTATATAACACCTAATTTATTGCTGATACATACAAATGATATATAAAATATATGCTCTATGTGCTATATATATATATATATAAAATCTGATTGTGTAGGATAAGAAATTAACAGCTGGAGAAATGTTTAGTAAAAGGGTTGGGTTTTTTTCTGTAAATATGCAAGTTTAACAGAAATTCAAGCATTTTGCATCTGTTTTTGAAGATTTTAAATGTAACTATATTAGTGATGATTTATTAAGAGATACTCATCATGATATTTTCCTCTGTATCAGTTTGCACTTTTAGATTTTTAAAAGGAATATTTTCCCATCCCAAATCTAGCTGCTTTTAAGGAAATCTGTCCTGGTGGAATGGGTTATACGGTTTCTGGCGTTCATAGACGCAGGCCAATCCATCACCATGTAGGTAAAGGACCTGTATTTGTCAAGCCAAAGAACACTCAACCTGTTGCTAAAAGTACTCATCCTCCACCTCTCCCAGCCAAGGAAGAGCCAGTGGAGGCCCTGACTTTCTCCCGGGAACACGGGCCAGGAGTGGCGGAGCCCGAAGGTGAGAGTGGAAATGGATCATGGACCTAGCCATCTGTCTTGTGTGTCTTTGCTTTGGTTTCCCTGTCTATGCCCTTCCAGAGTAGGGGTTTCCTGCCTTCCCACTATTGACACGGAGGGTGGATAATTCTTGGATGTGGGGGCTGCTCTGTGCATTGTAGGGTGTTTAGCAACAGCCCTGGCCTCTGACCTCGAGATGCTAGTAGCACCTTCTCCCTTCCCGTTCTTGCAGCCAAAAAGGTGTCCAAACGTTTCCAGATGTCCCTGGAGTGGGGGTGGGGGGAAAATTACCCCTGATTGAGAACCACTGCTCTAGAGTCATATGGACCTAGCAGGTAACAATATTCCAAGGTAATCTCAGGACATAGTCGCGTGTTTGGGGCCCCTTTTTCTTGGTGTTTAGTCCTGGAGAGTGCTAGATCAGGACATAGTCGCGTGTTTGGGGCCCCTTTTTCTTGTTTAGTCCTGGAGAGTGCTAGGTCCCCCAAGGAATAGCCCACATTCATTTCTGTGTCTAGAGGGCTGTTTCATAAATATTTACTTACTTTAAAAAGTGGAATCCATAGGCTTAAAGTTAAAGCATCAAAGGAGCTTCCATGAAATAAAGTCCGACGGGCAGTCCGGGTTGAAGGAAGGAAGGACAGGGTCAATTAAAAGGATCTTGGAGACCACTTAGTGCAGTCCTTTGATTTACATTATGGGAAACCTGAGACCTAGAGAGGGGACTTGCCAGTTGTCATGCACAGAGTAGATGATGGGACCAGGGAGCATGTTTTTCCAGGGAAGTGGTTTAGGCCTTACACTCCAGAGGGAGTCTAGAGACAGCTGACACTGACTATCTCCCTGGCTTTCACAAAGAGGATTATCTCTATCTCTGTCTCTTAATATAAACCAGCATATCTAATACTTTGATATCTGTTACTACAAAAGTTCTCACCCCCAAAGAAGGAACACAAATCTTAGGTTTGGATGAATATATATTGGCTCTAATAAAGCTGATGTTGGCTTTTCTCACTTGAGTCTTAGGTCAGAATTCAGGGTGCTCATTTATGGATTTCGTAAGGAGAGAAGGTGCCATAGGTTAGTGAAGACTTGGGGGCTTGGCAAGGCCTCCTTCCTGGTCGAGGTGTCTTTTTTGCAGGGCTCTGAACCTTCGTGTGTTCTAGCCTCTTCCATTCCACTCCTCCTCGTGCTGCACTTCCTTCTTGGTTAGGCAGAGCAGTGGGACCTCACCTAGAGTTGACAGTGTTGACCAGTTTGCTCCTATACACTTGGGGTGTCATGGCCAGGTGTTTGCAACTCCTCATCCTCTGCGTAAGCAGGAGAAAATTGGCTCTGGTCCAGGCTCTGCCTCAAGAATTTCTTAATGGTGGATCAGGCAGGACAGAATGTTAGTTGAGTTTTTTCAATCACAAGAATATTGCAGCGGTGGTAGCAGTCTGGTATCTGATTGCTTTTAGGAGTTAATGCAGCTACCAAACTTGTATGCTAATGTTACTGAGACATTGCCTCATGAGAAAAATGTTGGTGAATGTTCACCTAAGGCTTAAGGAATGATTAATGAAAAGCAAGGCTTTCAAAATACCAAGGTATAACCACTCACCCTATGGTAATGTTTATGATTGTGTAATATGTAATTTGTTCCCCATATTGATGCTAAACTGTCATTGGATCTTACTGGCTTGTGATTTTTCCCCCCGAAATTTCATTAGCATATCTTTCTGGAAATGCTCACAGAGCTTCATTAAGAATTCATATGCATCAGGAATGCAGCACCTATTCTGTCTCATTGAAATAGTGGCTTCTTTTCTTAACATTGACATCAGAAAGCATTTCAAACATTATATAATGTTAAGGATAAGTATCACCAATTAAAGGAAATGTTTGTTTTCTAAAATATGGGAAGTTCTACAAAATTGAGATTTGGCATAAAATGTTGTACTAGAAAGTGTTGCCTCCTTTAACATTTTTAGTTAATGAGGGACATGGAAAGAACTTCATCACATCTGTGACCTGACCTCCTGTAATTGAGGAATGACATATCCCTGGCCATTTTCCCCTGTCAGCCGTGTGTGATATCCAAAATAGTAGTGGCCATAATTCTGCGTTTGACTTGGTTTGATTCTGCATCCTTTTGGAGACATACTGAACTTCTATTGCACTTTAAAACTTAAAATATTATGTAGTAGATTGTTTTAAATTTTACTAATGTCCTCCTTTCTTTTCTGGTTTTAGTGGCAACTGCACCCCCTGAGAAGGTAATTTATTCATTGTTTACAAGTCTCTTTTTTTCCCTTTAACTTCACAATGATTTCCTTTTGGAATATGTATGCGTTTTTAAAGCTTAAATACGGTAACATGTATATTCATCATTTGGTTGGAGGAAATGGCATTCATTCATTCATTCATTCATTCAAGAAATATTTAGTGAGCACCTACTGTATTGCTGGCAGTATTCTGAATGCTAGGAAAACAATAGAGCGAAAAACCAGACAAAATTTATTTTCTTCATGGAACTTAAATTCCAGGAGAAGAAAATGACGGGACTAATAGGAACCAGGGCTTAAAACAGAATTCAAGGAGTCAATTTATGGCCTGGACCATCTATGAAAAGAAAGCATCTGACGGGTTTATGTAATTGTATATTCTTATGGCGCATAAGTACTGAGTGATGCACTTTTTAATTCAATTAAAATTTAACACGCATGTTTGAATTTGTTAGAGTAACAACAGATCTGACCCTTGAAAGTTACAACCATTCCTAGAATACTGATTAGACATTTTAGAGAAATTTTTATAAACCTGTTCATTTGGGGCATAAAATGGGGCTATAAATTGTGAAATTTATTAGTAGGAAATACATAAATTTTCTGGAACTAAGTCCTATTTAAGGAATACTGTTCCTTGTCTGAATCTTGTTTTGATTCTCTATAATAACATGACAGTGAGGTAATGATTAAACGTTTATACATTTATAGTTATTTAGTTGACAAGATTGCAGTAAATATTCACATTTAGATTGGGCAAATACATATGTAAATTATTATAGTTCTAAAAATCTTTATCTTATGAACATGGGATAGAGTAGCATACGTGCTGAAAGAATCCAGAAAAAAAAAAGTGATTTTAGAGTGATAGCACCCAACAAGGAAGAATGTCATGTTCTATTAACCCCCAGAAGAAGCACAACAAATATGCATATTTTGCATGAACATTTGCAGCTGTTGTTAAGCATCTCCTGAAGTTCAGTGACGTATGGTAGTTTGTAATTCTGTTGATTTTGAATTTGGTTCTGGTTGATAGGAGGGAGGAATCATTCAGGGTGGGAGTGGGCCGGCCAGCTCCCTCACAGCCTCGTCTTATCTCAGGCTTGTTCTTCTCTGTTTATGGTTGAGTTCATGCTACCTTTCATTAGGAATCTGAAAGAGGGCCCAAGCATTTTCTTATCTACTCTTACTGCAATTAATTTGGAGAAGTGGCAGTGGGAAAAATGCAACCAGAGTCCTTGTGGTCTTAACTCCTGGCAGAGGGCCTCATGATATTGAAGTGATGAAGAGAAAGCAGGGTGGTCCGGGGTGGGAAGTTATATGCGCAAAGGTGTGGCTGGGACAGCAAGAGGTCAGTGAGGGGAGCATGAGAGACGGGTTAGAAAGAGAAACTTTGGGAGGCGTGGGATACCAGCCTACAGTTGTCAGCAGTGGGGAAGTACTCTGCTCCTCAGCTGGACCCCACCTGTCCAGTGGTGAGGTGGCATTGGTGAGGGAGGCTGCTGCCCATGCCAATAGGGGGATTCTGTCTGTTACCTGCGGGAGTGGATTGATGGTCTTCTTGCTGGCATTGACCATGGGCTGCAGGGATTGGGGTGCAATTAAAACTGATTGAGGTCAGCTTAAATAGGTAATAGAAAGCTACTCTGTGTTCTTAAGAAGTGGGGAAAAGTAATAAGTGCTCAGTATTTTTAGAAGATAAATCATAGCAGGATTGACTGAGATAGGGAGAAAGAGGAAGCTGGAGAGGCCAGGTAAATATTAGAATAAACTGAGAATCAGAGAGTGAATCCAGACTTGGGGTAGTGAGGGCCATGGATATGGAAAAGGATGGACAATAGAAGGAATAGTGCAAATGGGCAGGGGTTGGGATGAGAAATGGAGGACGGAGGACTAAAAAGTGACTTTAAACCTGGTGGGTTAATGATTGTGTCATTGTCTGAAATGAAGTTGAGATGACATACTGGATGGTTTTGGAAGGAGTGGACTTAAGGGATTTGTGGAATATCTAAATGGAGTTACCCTATAAAGAATCGTGCCTACACAATTGGATCTTTGATGGGATACTCAGGCAAGATATCTATTTTATAAAAAGTAGAAAAGGGGTAATTCAAACTAGGAGACAGGTTGAAAGGGACATGGAGGCCTGGGGAGTAAGCTTTCTAGAGGATGACAGCAATTAAAGCAAGGGAGGGAGAATGTAATAATGTCTCACCAGTATGCTGTACACCTGAAACAGTATAAAATAATATTGAATGTCAACTGTATTGAAAGAGGATGAGAACAAAGTGTCAAAATAGTTGGAGAATTAGGAGTTATGTTATAAAAGCAAAAGGAAAGACAATTTCAAGAGAAGATTTAGGTCTCTATTTTTTAAAAAAACACCTCTAAGTTACTGTAAAATGAAAGCTGCGAGTAAGGTGAACAGTAAATAAAAAGAATATCTATATAATAAAAGCCTAAGTGACCCTTATGGTAGAACGACTGGAATGACTGGTCACTATGATGCACACTGACCACCAGGGGTAGACGCTCAATGCAGGAGCTACCCCCTGGTGGTCAGTGCACTCCCACAGGGGGAGCCAGAAGCTGGGCTCATGGCTGGTGAGCACAGGGGCGGTGGTGGGAGCCTCTCCCGCCTTCATGGCAGTGCTAAGGAGCAGCTAGCTGAGCGGTAAGGAGCCTGCCGCTAAGGAGCAGTGAGCCAGTGGTAAGGAGTGAGCAGGCGGGCGGTAAGGAGCGAGGGATCCCGGATTGCGAGAGGGATGGATTGGGCCTACGCCAGCAGTCAGACATCCCCCGAGGTGTCCTGGACTACGAGAGGGCACAGGCCGGGCTGAGGGACCCCCACCCTCCAGTGCATGAATTTCATGCACCGGGCCTCTAGTGTAATTATAAAATAATAAATGGGGGGAGGGACTATGTAGGGTAACAGTGATGGAGTAACCTGATTAATACTTTTAATGAAGCGATGATAGGAGCACCCTGGCCCCACACGTGTGGACGAGGTCACAGATGCTTAACAAGCCCCAAGTTCAGTCTGCATGAGTCCTAAGGAGCTGGAGCTGGAACTGACCACGAGTCTCTTTCTTTGCTTGTGGTCCAGGGGACGGGAGTGGGCAACTGGACACAGGAAGCCTAGGGCCCTCCTCCCAGGCTCTGCCTTTCTGTTTCTCTGCTGGACTCTCCTTACTGGGAGAGCTGGAGGTGCCAAGTTATTAGATGTGAGGTTAAGGGCGGCCATAATGACTGACCAGCATAACACATTTTAATATTGTGTGTTTTGTTATGACACATCTGCTATAGCCATTATCTAATCTGGGGCAGAGCCACATGTGAATGAAGTGACGGTTTAGTTCTCCTTCAGGGTTTGTTTTGTTCCAGACCAAGTGTGGGCCCCTGAGCCAAGGCAGTGGTTTCACACGTCTGAAGGGACCCTTTTCTCTGGGCCCTCGAAGACGGGTGAGGGTGTATGCTTGGGTTAGCACTGCAGGAGACACTCAGCAGCTTGCCATAATAGTGGCACAGTGGCAGTAGCTCATTAAAAAAAAATATCACACAATTGCACAGGTTTTTGTCTAATGTCCTATAACATTTGGTGCCTTTGTAATAGTATAGTTAATTAAATAAAAATAGGTATAAGTGCAAATGAAAAATAATTCTTACTTGCAGTTCTCTTTTTGTCTTTCTAATTCAACCATGCAGGAAATACCTTCATTGGATCAAGAGAAAACCAAACTTGAGCCTGGTCAACCCCAGCTCTCTCCAGGCATTTCCACTATTCATCTGCATCCACAGTTCCCAGGTAGCCTTTGTTCACCTGTGCTGCTTGTAACAGCATCTATATATATAAAAGCCTAAGTAACCGAAAGACCGGTCGACCAATCGCTATGATGTGTACTGACCACCACAGGGCAGGCGCTGAATGCAGGAGCTGCTCCCTGGTGGTCAGTGTGCTCCCTCGGCCCCTCCCCCCAGCCAACCTCCCGCGCCCCCAATCGGCCCTAATCGCCAGCCAGGCCGAGGGATCCCGCCAGTGCACGAATTCATGCACTGGGCCTCTAGTTCTCAATAAAAGAGTAAGATAAGAATATTCCGTGTTTTAGAGTTTTTTAGAGTTTAATAAATCATTAGAATTATACACTTAAGAATATTAATATACTTATATAATGTTAGTATTATAATATTATAAGTATTATAAAGGCAAAAGAAAAGTGTTTTGCTGTTTTCTGTGGTCAGGAGTAATATGTATTATTAGGATATTGTCGAGGGTCATCATTTGATGACAGGTTGTTTTTCTTGGCTTCTGAATTATCCCCAGGTATTCTTGCTAAATGTTGAAACCTGTAGGTTCATACTTGAGCTTTAGGAACCTATGACAGTTCTTATGATCTAAGAGCTACCGTGGTATGTCATTAGACTAAATTATGCTTGCATTTTGAAATGGCATGTCAGTGCATCTAACAGGCTTTAATGTTCTTTCAATCCCCTCCGTCCTTGTGCAGTAGTGATTGAAAAAACATCACCTCCTGTGCCTGTGGAAGTGGCCCCTGAAGCTTCTACCTCAAGTGCCAGCCAAGTAATTGCACCTACTCAAGTAACAGGTAGGTGCAGTGTCCGCTGTGTGACGTAGCCTGAGGAGGAGACATGGGGTTGAGCTTAATTTTAAATAGAGCATCAAAACTGTGTCAAATAGGTGAGATTGCTTATGGCAGATTAGTCATAGTAGCAAGATTAGGAAATAATCTGAATATTTTTTAGAAGGAGGCATATGTTTAAATAAATGATGGCACATATGCAGTGGAATATCACACAGCTATGGAAGTAACGTCTTAAAAGAATGCTTAATGTCATGAGGAGATAGTTATGGCAGGGTATTAAGAAATACAGAACACAATATAATGATTTCAATTTTATTTATTTATTTATCTTAATATATTTTTTACTATAGGACTGGTGCACGAAATTTGTGCGGGGAGGGGGGGGGAGGTGTCCCTCAGCCTGGCCTGCACCCTCTCCAATCCGGGACCCCTTGGGGGATGTCCGACTGCCGGTTTAGTTACCATGTTGTTAAACTGGCAGTTAAACTGGCAGTCGGACATCCCTCTCACAATCTGGGACCCCTGGCTCCTAACTGCCTACCTGCCTGCCTGCCTGATCGCCCCAACCACCTCTGCCTTGCCCCCGCCACTGTGGCTTTGTCTGGAAGGACATCCGGAAGATGTCCGGTCTATCTGGTCTAATTAGCATATTACCCTTTTATTAGTATAGATTGATTTCAGAGAGGAAGGGAGAGGGAGAGAGAGATAGAAACATCAATGATGAGAGAGAATCATTGATCGGCTGCCTCCTGCATGCCCCCCACTGGGGATTGAGCCTGCAACCCGGCCATGTGCCCTCACCGGGAATTGAACCGCGACCTCCTGGTTCATAGGTCGACGCTCAACCACTGAGCCATGCTGACCGGGCCCAATATTATTTTTTAAATGATTACAAATAGAAAAAGAGGCAAAAAGCACATGAAGGTGTTCAACTATCACCAGTTAGAAGGATCATGGATAATTCTTATGTCCTTCAATAGAATTTTACATGTTTTTAAAAGTCTTTATAATAAACTTTATTTTAATCATTAGTGACAAATTATAAGAATGTATCATAATATGAAACAAATCAGCAGCTTAAAAGCTAATATCCTTAATGTTGGAGAACAATAAAAAACACACAATAGAAAACGGAGGCAGTGCAGGGCATGCGGGACCTGAAGCACGTGGCCGCAAACTCCAGCTGACAGACTCGCCCTGTTCCCCGGGACAGCTGGACTATCCCAAGGAGCAGATGGCCCAGCTGCACAACCTGGTGCAACGTGGTGACTTCCCTCATCTGTCTGTGTGTGGACCATGAGGTGCTAATATAAAGACGAGAATTATGTGTGTTCTATGTGAACTTTATGGTGCTGAGAATTGCACATCAGACCATCACAACTCCATCTAAAAAGAAAATTGAAGTTAGCACTATTACAAGCAACTACCACCTTTAGTTAATCCCAGAGATGCTGGAAAGAGTGACAGGGTAGCAATTCGGATGTTGAAAACAGTGGTGCAATCACAGCAACTTGAAACAAACTCTCTAGGAGACTTTAAAGTGGTTTGATTGGCAGAGGTTGACAAACATGCCTTGCGTCGAACCACGGGAGAGTATATGTCCACCTGCAGACTGATCTCGTGTTGCAATTCTTTTTCTAAAGTCATACCACCTGCTCATAGTAGGTATCTGGCTGTTCGAGTGCCTGCTCCCAGCCTTTGCCATGTGTTATCTACCATGTACAAGGAGGAAGGTCTGAATCTTCCTGCACTGCTGGCTCACAGACTTGCAGAAAAGTCCTGCGGAAGGCTCAGAAAAGCCCTATGTATGTGTCAGTCTGTAGAGTCCAATAATATCCTTTTGCTCCAGATCACGAAGTCCTAGAAACAGATGGGGAGATGTAGCAGAGGGAGACTGCTAGTGCTATTGTCAGCCAGCAGACTCCACAAAGGCTCCTTGAAGTTCATGGAAGACTCTGTGAGCTTTTAGCTCCTCGTATTCCTCCTGAAATAATAATGAAGGGCCTCTCTCGGAACTTTTGCATAACTGTGATGGACAGCTGGAGGGAGAAGTGGCCCAGATGGCAGCTCACTGTGAACATCGTCTACAGCTGGGTAGTAAAACCATTTATCACTTGGAAGGTTTTGTGGCCAAATTCATGGCACTACATAAGAAGTTCATGGAGGATGGATTAGAAGGCATGATGCTCTGACATCTTTCAGTAACTCTTCCTAATGTTTCTCAGTATCACCATTTATATTCAACTTATACTGGAAGAGCTGTAAGTAAAATAAACTAACTTTACTTAACAAAAAAAGAAAAAAATGAGGAAATCATAGAATAATTCATAGAGAAAAACAATACCAAGAAACATATGCTAGGAAATGTCAATTTTGCTAGTAATCAAAGAAATGCAAATTAAAATAATTCTTTATTCTTATCACATTAAGACTTAATTCTTCTAGAGTGAAATTGAGACTCTCACATTGCTGAAAGGAATGTAAACTAGTTCAGCTTTTCTGAAAAGCACAAACAAGATCTTTAAAAATGTTCAGAACTTTTGACTCAGTAATCCAATAGTAAGATATCTAGTGTAAGGAAATCATGTCCCCTCCCACACTGATAATCCTATATAATAAAAGGCTAATATGCAAATCAACTGAATGGCGGAACAACTGGTAAATATGATGTGCACTGACCACCAGGGGGCAGATGCTTAACGCAGGAGCTGCCCCCTGGTGTTCAGTGCGCTCCCACAGTGGGGAGTGCTGCTCAGCCAGAAGCTGGGCTCACGGCCGGCAAGCATAGCAGTGGTGGTGGGAGCCTCTCCCACCTCCGCTGCAGGCGGGCGGTAATGAGCAAGGGGTCCCGGACTGTGAGAGTCCCGGACTGCAAGAGGAATGTCTGTCTGCTGGCTTAGGCCTAATCCCTCCGGCAGTCAGACATCCCCTGAGGGGTCCAGGCCTCTAGTGGTCTATATAAATGGATACTTACTAAAGCACCATGTATAATAGAGAAAAAATAGAAATAACTTAAACATTTAACTTTAGGAAAATAGATGTTATATCTATACATTGGAACATTATGCTACCATCAAATATAGTATTTTTTAAAGACATTTATTAAGATTTATCAGAAAATGATCACTCAATAAATTGTTAAATATAAGATGAAGTATATAAAAAATGAAAGATATAGAGTATTATACCAGTCACATTAAAAAGACATAATTGTTGAGAAAATGCACCAGATATTAGCAGTGATTATTTTTGTGGTAGGATCCGAGAGGTTTGGAGTGCAGTAGAGCCACCCAGATGCATTATGTCAGTGTTAGTTAAGGATGAGATTGGCAGTGTGTAATAGAGGCGTTTGTAGCCTCCTTTAAAATATTTCTTTCCTCAGAAACACTAGATGCTCATTTTTCAGATAGAAATGTGCTTGATAGATATGTTAATTAGCTGGGTTGTGGTGATTATTTCACAATGTATACATATATTAAAACATCAAATTGTACACCTTAAGTGTGTGTATATAACTTCATGTTAAAAACAAGTATACAGTTGTGTACATATGTACAGTTATATTTATCCAGTTATATAAAATATATGCAATTTTTATGTGTTTAAAATAACCAAAAACTTCTAGCCATTTTCTCAAAAATGTGGATGTAATTTCCCATAGCTATTTGAATCAAGCAAGCAGGCTAGACAGTATTTTCTAGAAGCACCTGTCGACAGGTGATGAGTGCAGTCACGTCTTGGACTTAGCAGTTCATATTCATCTCCATCGGGGTCCTCAAGGCCCACCCTCGCCAGAGCCCTGGCCTTCTCCACAGTTACTCATGGCAGTTGCTCTTTGATTTTGCTCTTAATACTAAGTAAATTGATATAAAGATGTTAGCTTTTGTAAGTATTTCTAGAGTGATACAATGAAACGATAGTGATGTTTTTCAATGACCATGGGTAAAATAGTGGCTGTCCATTCTGAGGTCATTTATGTGTCTACCCATTTCATTAAATCCATCTCAAAGTTGCTCTCCCTGCTATGCCCTGTAATGCATACAAACTTGTCATACACTCACTGTCTTGGTCAGCAAGCATCTTCTCATTGTTAACCTCAGCGTTGAAAAGAAAATTGCAGTGTGACAATGTAATTCATGAGTTTTTTCTATATAATGTATTTCTATTTTCCAATGTCAAAATAGACTTCAATTTGTGTCTTTTTAACAGAGGTCAGTGGAGGGACCTCTTGCAACTAGCTTTGTAGAGGGTCAGTTTGGCTGGATAAATGCAGTGTTGTCATTTCAGTGCAGCTGTGTGAGGAATAACAAATTGAAGTCACTTAGCTTCAACGGAACTACAGAGCCGATTGAAAACAGTGTGCTATATGAAGATGTTAACAGAGATTAATTTGAGTTTGGCAGGAGCACAGGGTTAACATCTGCTATCACATGTTTGAAGCACAAATATTTCCTTCCAGGAAATAAGTTAACATCAAATTTCATTTTCATGCGACATTTGTAGGTACTCCCCCTTCCTATAGTAAAAGAATCTGAAACAATCCAAGAGGGCATTACACATTGTCTTTAAATTAAATGGTTTTCGACTTTGAAGCGACACTATAATCAGTAATCTACAGTAGAACCAGAAGACTGTTTTGTATCAAATTTAATTTAAATCAAAATATAGATGTTTGCATTGGTTTGATATGAGAGCCAAACATATAAATTGAGGGAGTGATGTGATCTGTTCTCTTAGGAAATATTATGCAATGATTTTTCTCCCTAAAACACAGAAGAGGTTGGTGTTATTTGTCACTATTAGTTGCTCTCATAAGTTGAAGAAAGGGGTAGAATAATAATGGGTCTAAACTAAGTAAAATCAGTTCCACATTGCCTAGTGATGATATCTTTATGATGGTGAGGTTGGAAGTAGACTTTTCAGATTTTGTCAGACACCCCTTGACATGCAATAATTATAAAGTGAGCCACATATTTACAGGAAATAAGTGTGATATTTTCCACTCCTAACAGCTGAGTTGGTGGCTTGCAACATTATTGGCACGCTGTGTCCAAATAAATTATACATTTCAGCATATAAATTCTTGATTTAGTGTAGTGTCTTAACAGCTCAAGGATAGGTTGGAAAATGAAACCTTTATTTCTCTGGCAAATATTTGCAAAGTGGAAACATCTGTTTCAATTGTTGTGGGACAATTTATGCTCGTTGTGTGGCAGTTAGGAGGCCAGGGCATTTTGTAAACCTTTCTGAGAGTTAACATTTGATGCCTCCTCCTGCTCACCCCAAACTTTCTCTGTAGCCCTGGCCGACTAGCCAGAAACTGTTCTTTGACATCGTGACTGCCTTTGCGGAAACCTTTGTAATTATCACAGCCCAAACATTCTAAAAACTGTTTGCTCAGACCTTTTCCAGATCTCATAACTGGCCCCTTTAAAGAGACCGTTTATCCCTGACGCGTATCACCAGCGTCATTACAGCCTCCATAAACCGTGCGTACTGATGGAAAAGGAACTCTTTTTTTTCATGTAAAATCATAGTGGTTTGATATTTCCAGGCCCTATTTATTTATTTACTTTGAGTAATCACATGATGAGGGGAAAAAGTCTAAAATCAGCATACTCAATTTCATGTTTTTCCAAAAGCTGTCTTTTTCATTTGATTCTAGAAAATATAACAGAGATACCAAACTCTTAAGTCCACCATAGGCCTTGTTGCTGGGATAGATGAGTGTTTGGTTTTCCACTGGCGTTTTGTTGTGACTCTTTTTCAAATTTCCAAGTGGACTCTAGCGAAAACATGAACAGAATAAGGTCGTTGATCCAGTGAAGGTGGAGTTGTTTCAGGGGCAGGTGTGGTAGGAAAGGGTAGGGGGTGCTGAGAACACCAGGGGATGGGATGGGCATTACGAAGGACACACAGAAGGGTCCAGGGGGAGCGGTCTCTGATGGTCTCTCTGGGAAGTGGAACAGGCTGAAGGAGACAAGACATCCCCACTTTCGAGAGTTCCACAGAGATCAGTGCTTCCTGTGTGAGGCTTGGCTATATTTCCAGGGTTATGTCGACACAGTCTAATCCACAAAATGTATGTGTGCGTTTTTGTGTGTGTGTGTTTTAAACTTCAATAGATTGTTATTGATTTTAGAGAGGAAGGGAGAGGGAGAGAGAGAGAAACATCAGTGATGAGAGAGAATCATTGATTGGCTACATCCTACTGGGGCTAGAGCTGCAACCAGCATGTGCTGTGACCAGGAATGAACCGTGACCTCCTGGTTATAGGTCGATGTTCAACCACTGAGCCACACCAGCTGGGCAGAACTGTATGTTTTGACATAAACTGATCCATTCTCTGGGAAGAGGCTCACATACCTATGTGTGAGTGACCTCTTCAAAAAATAAGAAGCGCAATGTCTTTTCCCTAAAAAACATGGCAAAAGCAGAAAACTTTCCTTATCCTTCATGACGGTACCCTCAGGACTGGCCTTGCTGTGTAGCATATGTGCCAGAGAATGAGAATTTAATAGAAAAGGAGGGAAAGTGTGGGAGGAGACATGTTTTGTAAAGTTTTAAGATCGGAGTACTAGTAATTACTTTTCTCTTAAAAAAATGGTGCTGATTAACTTTTGATGACTAGTGACGAGAAGGCAGACAGAAGTGTTTGGGAGGTGTTACAACTCTTCTTTCTATGAGAAGGGTGGAGTTCTGCCTAGCACAGGGACGAAGAGGGTCTCTGAGGCCAAACTGGTGAAAGTTACATGAACTAATGACTTGGGTGAAAAGTGGGACAAATAGTGTAGAAATCACGTGTGTTTTCGTAAATGTGCCTTCGCTCCTGTGATGTGTCTCTTAGTTCCCTCTAGTGGTGTCAGAGGAACATTTTCTTACCTAAGTTAGTGCCCTCCCCAGGGGACCAGCATTTTGAAGCTGCAGCTTGATATACTTACTAATCTACGGGGTGATCAGCTAAACATACCTCATGAATATAACTTCAACCGCATGGCTTCTATTCAAAATACTAGATTGGAAGGAAAGGCTGTTATCATTCATTTCATTTCCTGAGATTAAGGAGTTATAATTCTTAAGAATTTCTTATATCTTAGAGCTGACGTAAGAAGAAACTTAGTATGTTGGCAAACTGGTATAGGAATGTATCTGGTGTGAATTAAGCATCACCTATTTTTAAAGACTTGTATTCACACATGTAAAAATTCCATTCTGATATGCTTGAAAAGTGACAAATATTTGGTAATCAACAAATTAGTGTGTGTGATGGAGACTGAGTACTGATGGAGCATTTCATGAAAATCTAGATATTTATAGTCTTTGATTTGTTTTGAATTTTTGTCCCTCATTATTAACTTCTATTTTTTTTCTTTTTGCAAATGTGATAAATATGTCTTTTCTCTCTTAAGAAAATGGGAGCTAAGAGTATAAAGATCAGTAATTACAAAGAAAACCGAGAAGTGTAAATAGCAATAATTTTCAAAGAAGGCATCTAACTTCAAAATGGATTAGATGGTCAGAAGCATGCTTTTGACAATATTCTACTAAAGAATTCCTATCAACAGAGCAGAGAATTCTTACCTGAGGGTCTAGGAGTGTAACCTGGAGAACACTACCTTTCACCTTCAGATTTTTATCACACATAGAAATGAACATAGAAATGATAACTTTTTAATGGAAGACCTTTCTGAATGTAAAATTATATAATCTCATTGTACAAGTTTTGAAAAATACAGAAAAACATAAAGAAAAAATCACCAATCCCAAAAATCATGACACTGGATTTATTTCCTTAAAATCTCCTTTTCTGTGTATTTTGTAATTTAGATGATACCTATATTAAAATTTGCTCCCAACTATATTTTGTAACAAGTAAACATTTCCTATCCTTTACTGACTATATGATAATCTATGCTGTATATGTAGCTTAATTCATTTTTTGGTATAATTGCCCATCACTCAAGTTTAAGCAATCATGTTAATCATCCATGTTTTTAGCCTTTCAAATTGTTTTGTGTTTTATATGATTTTATATTATACTGAGTGTAAAAACTATTCTTCTGAAAGTGAGTTAGCACAACCAGGCTCCCTGAAGATACCAGTAATTTGCAAGTGTGTGGTTGTCTCGTATCTCCAAGTGATTTTGTGTAAAACACCGCAGCTCTGTATTCATATGCTTTCTTTTAAAGTCTACCAACTTTTCAAGTGACTTGCGTCTGTTGTCTTAAAGTCACAGCACAGCGAATAGCACTTGATGAAATAGGAAGACTGTAGTGGGGTTTTGGAGAGCAACTTCAGCCTCTTGTAGGTCATTTCCATGGTGTACCTTTGTTAACTAGTTAACTGCCACGGTATTTTGAATTTAATTAAAAAAGGCCTGCCGCTTGCAGCTATAGATGCTTATGGCGTACAAACGGTTAAGGCACTGGTTTTCACATCCTTTTCTGCAGAGTGCGTGGTGGGTTATTGGTGACAGAGCACACCTGTCGCCTATTTTTCTTCTCCTTCAAATTACAGACCCTCTAACAGGGCTGGGCGTTAGGCGGTCATGCACGAGGCCCCCATCTTACTCTGGGCCCCTTGGGCTCTTCCACGACGGCATGTGTTTCAAGCATCGCTTACTGTGTGATGGCAGTGAACAAACAGCTATTGTTTTAAATGTGCTGTTTCTTTGTTGTATATTCTTATGGGACTTCCACAGGAGCAACAGTGATAATGATGATAACGGCTATCTCTTATTGATCCTATACAATGTGCCAGGCATTGGTCTCCAGGCATTATTGAAGTTATCGCCTTTGAACCTGAGAGCCTGAAGTTGGCGCCTTGATTATTCCCATGTTACACACGTAGAAAAGTGAGGCATAGAATTTTTGAGTAGCTTGCCCCCCCTGTGACAGAGCTAAGAAAGGACAGCAAGCTTTGTACCCAGACTGTCTCCAAGCCTGGACTTCTGACCACTGCCCTACTCCCATTGTACCATTCTGCCTCCTTACAAAGGTCATTGGAAGCAGACTATTTTAGGGAGGTACGTCATCTCAGAAGGCCACCTTTGAGTCCGTAGGTCCTTTTATTAATTAAGCTCCTTTTTCTGATCTTCACCCACCATGGACTCCTATGACCCTGTGTCTATCACAGCGTCTGTCTATGAGTGGAGTGAGAACTCAGGGTTAATCTGCTCGGACTTTATGGAAGAAGCAAGTCTCAAGCAAGAATCAGTGGAAGAGTGAGGGAGGAATTTAGCAGAGAAGATTTGGAAGAAGATTCTGCTTAATCTATTTCAATAAAATATGCTCATGTTGGAATTGGCAAATTAAGAGTAAAGTTACACCCACAAGTTTTGCTTTGATTAGAAGTGGTACATCTTTCTTGAATATTAATGAGAAATTTTGGAGGAGGTTGAACAAAGTTGGAACTTGAATTTGGCCTCTTAACAAATGCAACGCTACCATGTACTTCTTACCGGGGCAAATCACATGATGATTCAGAAGTGAATTTGGGTGGATGGAAATTCATTGACAAGCTATCTTAGAAGTTAGGAAGCATTTATTATTTCACAACTTCCAACATGGCTCTTTCTGAGTGTCCCCCCACTCCAGTTCATCTAGAAATTGTTTCAACATTAGGAATTATTGATGACCTTGGGTGGGCCTAATGGAACAATTAATAAAGTAGTCAAATGAATTTATACTTGATTTTAGAAGTGGTCACCTTTTGTCTTTTAAGCACATACCTGGCAATAAGCTCATCAGGAAACACAAAGTGATGTTTTCCAGTAGCCATGAAATCTTTATATCTGTTTCTCCCCCCCCCCCCCCACATTTTACTTATGTTTAAAGAAATCAATGAGTGTTCCGTGAACCCTGACATCTGTGGAGCAGGACACTGCGTTAACCTGCCGGTGAGGTACACCTGCATCTGCTATGAAGGCTATAAGTTCAGTGAGCAGCAGAGGAAGTGCACTGGTAAGAGACATTTCATAGGCGACATTATTCAGTTAGCCAATATTTGCACAGTAAGAGCACTTTTTCTGTAATTATCATAGGAAAATGTTACTGTGTTTAATATTATAAAGTTCTTATCCCTGAGCTAAGGATGTTCAAAAAGAGGTTTTCTTGGGGAGCTGTTACCTCTTGGTTCAACTCTGCCTACTTTGCCAAGTGTAACACAATTACATAAAGGTGAAGTGATTTCCAAAATTTTTGCAGGTCAAATATATAAAGTAAGAGTTCTAGAAACAGTGAGCTATAAGCATCTATTTAGCAAAATCAAATTAATGTTAACATACACTGCAATAAAGAATTATATTCTCTAATTGCATAAAATCCGATTTCTAATAGGGATTTCTAAATTGAAAATCACTAAATGCTGACACAAAGTTATTGAGTATGCCTCTCTGGAGAAATGTGTCTCAGAAAGAGCTGGGATGGTGGTGGGTTAATTATTTTGATGTGTTAACCCTATAGTTAGTTTTTAGAAACTAAGGGTTATAAAGTGAACAAAAGCAACAGAGGGATATAGCTAATTAATACTACTTTAATATGCTAAATACTATTAGACAAGATTTGTGACTTTTGTTATTTGGTTTCGTATACGTATGAGGGGCTAAGGAGACACCCGCCTGTTCACACTATGGTTATTTCCCTTTCATTTGCATACAGTGTGGGTGTGTCTAGAGCCATAAAGTATGAAGTTGAAAGGGCAATCGTGCTCCACCTGTGTGTAGAGTGGGAGAGTCCCTTTCATGCCACTGGGCCTGTCCCTGCCATCCCGGTCTGGGGGTAGCTCGGCGAATTCCAGAGCTTAGATGAGTCCAGTTACCCGGCAGGTCCTTCTATGTTGACCTGAAACCTGTCTCTTTGAAACACCAGAGTCACGGTTGTAGTTTTAGCTTTTGAAGCAATACGCACAGTGCGTATTCCCTCTTCCCAGGAACAACCTTTCAAGTGTTTAAGGAGAACAGTCATGTCTCCTTGTCCTCAGCGATGAAGGCTTGTGGGACACGGGGAGTCGGCTGGTGTTTCACGAACAAGGAGACGGAGAATGTCATGCTCCAGTTCACTGATCCTTTGATCCATCATTCTCTTGACAGATATTGACGAGTGCACGCAGGCCCCACACCTCTGCTCCCAGGGACGCTGTGAGAACACTGAGGGAAGTTTCTTGTGTATTTGCCCAGCAGGATTTATGGCCAGTGAGGAGGGTACTAGCTGCATAGGTAATGGCAGTGCTTCCTGTGCCTCAATTCCCAGGTCTGCCTTTGTGCCTCCCCTAAGATCCCATCTGTTCACTGCTTAGTCAGACAGCACCTGCCATGACATAGCAATCTGCTAGATGCGGAAAGATATTAAAATTGAATTCTTTTCCTCCAATCCTTTTTATTTTGCATTTAAAAAAATTTTTTTTCAGTAACAGTTGACATTCGTTGTTAGTTTTAGGTGTATAGCCTAGTCGTTAAGAGACATTTATGTAACTTTTGAAATGATCTCCCCTATAAGTCTAATACCTAGCCAGCAGCATACATAGTTATTAGAATACTAGAGGCCCGGTGCATGGATTCATGCACCAGTGGAGTCCCTCCGCCTGGCCTGCGGGGATCAGGCCAAAATCGGCTCTCCGACAATCCCCCGAGGGGTCCCGGATTGCGAGAGGGCGCAGGCCAGGCCAAGGGACCCCACCAGTGCCCGATCGGGACCATGGAAGGGCGCCAGGGCGTGTCTGCCCCTGTCTTGCCCAGTTCTGATCTGGGCCAGTGATCAGGGTGGCCAGCCGGGGAGGGACAGCGGGAGGTAGGCCAGCTGGGGAGGAACTGTAGGAGGGCTCCAGGGCGTGTCCGGCCCATCTCGCCCAGTCCCGATCAGTCGGATCCCAGCAGCAAGCTAACCTATCGGTTGGAGCGTCTGCCCCTGTTGGTCATTGCGCATCATAGTGACTGGTCGAACGAACGGTCAGACACTTAGCGTATTAGGCTTTTATTATATAGGATTATTTCTCTGACCCCTTTAAACGAAGCGTGTCAAGTGTGCACAAAGACCAGAGGGGTTAAATGTTTCTTTTGGATCCCACACAAATCAAAATCACTCAGGTGATAGCAGGAATCAGTTATTTCATTCTTAAACTACACAGGGAGAGGTTTGAAATTATAGTTTGGGAAATAACCCTCGCACTGTTTCTGCTTTCCATAGATGTTGATGAGTGCCTGCGGCCGGATGTGTGTGGGGAAGGCCACTGCATCAACACCGTGGGGGCCTTCCGGTGCAAGTACTGTGACAGCGGGTACCGCATGACCCCCGGAGGACACTGCGAGGGTGAGTGTGCTGCGAGGCGGCGGCCGCACCACTTCTGAGGCTGAGTAAGCCTGACTGTGCCGTGCAGGGCTGGGTGCAGGGCCCGTGGCTGACGGGCCCCCCGCCTGGCATTTCCCTCTGCCAGTCTGTGCATGCTACCAGCTCGTCTCAGCGCCGCCCTCCTTCTGGATTCGCAGCCTCTTTGTCTCACTTCCGTGGCTCTGTCTGGATTATTTTCTATCTTTATGCTCTTTCTTACGCACTTCAGTATCTTCCTTCGCTGGTATTTCAAATGAGGTCACCTTAGAACAATTATTGCAGAGTTCATACAAACCCAGACTTGATTACAGTGTCTGGGTCCTTCATGTGAGGACACGGTTCAGGTGTAACCACCTTTGATTTTTTTGTGTTCTTGACCTTTTCACCTGGATACGTTCCTTTGTCTCAACTTGTTCCTTTCACGTAGATTTTGGGACTTGCTTGCAGACTCCCCACAGAAGCTCTGTCTAATCCACTGTAGGTCACATTCCAACAGCACCAGATGAAAATGCCTTTGTTAATGACCGCAGCCATAAATTGGCGCTCCTTACAAAAATGTTTTGAAACATTTTTATTTTTTTTAAGAGGGACATGATTTATTTTATTCGTTTTAATATTTTTATTTATTTCAGATAGGAAGAGAGAGGGAGAGAGAGATAGAAACATCAATTTGAGAGAGAATCATTGATCGGCTGCCTCCTGCATGCCCCCACTGGAGATTGAGCCCACAACCCAGGCATGTGCCCTTGATCGGAATCAAACCTGGGACCCTTCAGTCCACAGGCCAACACTCTATCCACTGAGCCAAACCAGATAGGGCTGAAAAGTTTTTATAGCATGGTCAAAGTGATGAACAATTTCACATTCTCATGTTTGGGTCCAAATTGCACACAGGTTCTGTTTGAAACCCTGATGGTACTTTTCCCTTTAATTATTTTCATAAAGAAAACAGCATTACCCTGATCCCAAAACCAGACAAAGACATTTAAAAAAAAAAGAAAATTGCATTGAACTTCGGCTTAGATCCTGCCATGGAAACATGGGGGTGAAGGTGCAGGGGTCTCTGAGCTAATGTTTAAGGAGCCCAGATGTGGGGGTGGTGCTGAGGCCCTGGGGTTCCCTGCCCGGCTGCCCGAGGATCAGCCTCTTTTCTAATATGGCTGGGCGTCCAGAGGGAGGGAAGGAGGTAGGCTGGTTGGGGTGGGCTGCTCTCAGCTGTCCCTTGGCGCCTGCAGGTTGGTTTTCTTCACAGTCCTATCGGCCCAGGCCTGGAGGGAGAGCTAATTAGACAGTTTTTGGCAGCCTGCGCCTGCCTCCTGCTGGCCTCTTGCCTTGGCCCCTTCGGTTCTAATCGAGAGGGAAGTGGGAACAGTGTACCTTACCGGATCTCTGGTCAACTCTAATGAGAACAGAGCTGTGAACTGTTCCCCAAGGGCCGAGGGACATGGTGAAGTACAGGTGTGACGTGTCCCCACTCTCCTCTTCCCCGGAACTCTCTCCGCTCAGAGAGGCGGGTGGACACGAGGGCAGCCTGCGCCTGCCTCCTGCTGGCCTCTTGCCTTCGCCCCTTTGGTTCTAATCGAGAGGGAAGTGGGAACAGTGTACGTTACCGGATCTCTGGTCAACTCGAATGAGAACAGAGCCGTGAACTGTCCCCCGAGGGCCGAGGGACATGGTGGAGTGCAGGTGTGACGTGTCCCCACTCTCCTCTTCCCAGGAACTCTCTCCGCTCAGAGAGGCGGGGTGGACACAAGAGAGAGAGGAACTGTGGCATCAGCTCACGACCCGCACAGGTCGTGACTGTCTGCTTGGGAGCCAGTGACTTGGCCCCTTTGGAAGTTACTTCTTCCTCTGTAACATGGCCACTGAGAAGTTGACTCTTCAGGGTTGCTGAGAATAGAAATGTGTGTTGCAGTAGCTTCTATGGTGCCGGTCACCTTATTAGTTCTGAGGAAGCGTTTGTTTCTTAAACTTTGCCCTTTCCTGATGCTTTTTTTTTTTATGTAGATCTTCTCTGTACATCTCTAGTTGTGGGAGTACTTAAAAAAAAGGGTGTGTGTGTAGGTATTTGATAAGCATTTATATGCAAAGCAGCACTCCCCAAGGAGGTCAAATATGGATCTTTATGTTCTACGTACAGTCTCAGAATGAGAAGATCAGACATTGAAACAATAACTGTAGCATAAGGATGGAGAGTGGGAAGGAGGAGAAAAGAAATGTTGGAAGTCCATGGGAAACGGGAGACTTTTCGGTAATATTCAATGTGTGCAGATTATTTAACAGAAATATTACCAGAGTTCCCTGTGTAAAAAAACATATGCTTCTCCCCCCATGAAAAGGCTTGAGGAGAAGAAGGAGCCAAAGAACATGGCTGTTTGCTAATTTTGTCATGGCCCCGACCCAAAGGTCCCCGGGCTCCTGGCTCACGGAAGGTTTTCTCAGCTGTCCCTGACAAGGCTGCCTTCAAACAGCGCCAGTCTCCAAGGAGCCTATTGTAGTTCACAGACATTATCTCATGCGTCCTTACTTTATTCCGTTAAGATATTACCAGTCAGGTAGTCCCTGATGCATAAATGAGGGAACAAGAGAGCAGGTGAGGGCAGCAGGGAATTCAGGGATGTTATCTGGTGTTGCTCAGTTGTTGCACCTAATTTATCGGGCCAGCCTACCTCGGTGACCTTCTCTGACTTAGCAGTTGCAGTTCTGTTTAAAAAAACATCCCATCCAGAGAATAATGTCATGCTGTTTGGAAAGTGAAACTGGCGAGCATCATCCTTTTGTAGAACAAGAAGTCCCAGAACATCTGACCTAAAAAAAAACCCACACACACAAAACCACTGTGTGTCATTGTCTATTGGCAAGAATTTTTCACCGATAGGAAAAATAATTACAGTGCTGGCCTGGTGTTGATTCTGTTACTATCGTCTTCAACTCTTTTACTTCAAGCATTTTTTTTACACACATCCAGGGATCTGTCATGGGAGATCATTTTAAAGAATTTACCAGAATGAAGATGTCAAATGCCCATGCCTGTTCTGTGTATCCATCACGTATTTCTTTCACTTTTCAGCTTATGTCCTGAGATATCTGTCTATAGTTGAAGTATGATTAGAGGTCTTCTATACATTTTATATTGAGACACTTAGACATTAAATCCACTCACTGAAATTCAAAAAATCCAACTCCAGAAAAAACACTTACTTTAAATATATCCTACATCCTTCCCCCATTTTGTTTAACTATTCTTAAAAATGCCTCAAGCTATTGGAGTCATTATCTCTGCCACAGTCCCAACCCTATTTAAGGTGTTTTGTCCTCACATGGAAGAGAACAATGTTTACTTACTTCAGTTAGCTGTGAATGTGAAAAGAAAGGTGTATTTTTACCAGAAAATACTACCAGATGATCTTATCACCATGTTTGCTGGGAAATCTTGAAAGTATGTGATGAGTTCATTCTCTTCTAGTGTTTTTTTCCTACTTCCAAGGAATTCCTAGCATATGAAAGGTTTTAAATTATTTAAACCCAGGATGTTTTTGGGCCCATGAGGCCAAAGTGAGGATTTCCCCAGAGCGTCAAGTGTTTGTAGCGCCGACTTATCGCTGGGTGGATGTACAGGGTGGGGCAAAAGTAGGTGTACAGTGGGGAGTATTTGAAACACAGAATTTATTCTTGTATTCACTATGGTATCATTTTCCACATGGACAACTGTAAGCCTACTTTTGCCACACCCTGTATGGCTTTCTCCTGCTCACCCCTATTCTCTGTCTTTTTTTCTGGCAAACTACACACTTGCTTGAAAGCTTTGATGTCCAGAAAGTTGGCCCGGAGACATTGTGAGTTCCCAGACTAGGGAGTTCAGACCCTCCAGTTGGAGAATTGGGTCCCACGACTTCCTGGGAATGTGTGTAAATGTTTCAGTCAAGGTGTACCTGGTCGTGCATGAGCGCTGTATGTTTATAGACCTGTGTCACTTAGCTGGTTGTTTTCCCCACCAGATAGGGCAGGCATTTCCCCCCTTTATCACAAAAGTGTTTGCTGTATATCCTGATAAAATGTCTGTGACCTAGCTTTTTGATTTTTCAGATATTGATGAGTGTTTGAGTCCAAGTACTTGTCCAGATGAGCAGTGCGTGAATTCTCCTGGATCTTACCAGTGTGTTCCCTGCACGGAAGGGTTCCGAGGCTGGAATGGGCAGTGTCTTGGTAGGTACCACAGAGTTCTTATCATATAGTTTTATTTCTTCTTTCCGGCCTGTTTTCTGACAGAGTGGTGTAATGCCAAATGAGCCCTCTTTCAAAATAAAATATAAATAAATACACACACATACATATGGAATGTAACAAAATATTATTCTAAGACAACTTCAAAGAAAAGTTCTAAGTAAGTTTCAACCATGGAGAAAATAAGGAAGTGAGTTGGCATGAGGAATGTGGGATTTTTACATGCAACAAATAATCCTGGTAGAAACACATTGTTACCTGATGTGTTAAATAACCAAAACTAAATAAAATAATCACCACAGGGAGAACGGTGGAAAGCAAAATACTTAATAAGTGAGAAAAGGCATAAGAAGAAGCTGTCAGAGACCACATAGAATTAGGAAACATACAAACACAAACTTGCAGCAGAAATAGCAGACGCAGAAAGGGAAATCTTGGATTGATTGCTCATGTCCCTTATATAATACATTTATTCATTTAAGTATTTAATAAATAGTACCTGCATCAGGCACTGAGAGAGATCTGATATACTTGCTTCGGTTCTAATTACACGGGTTCTCACTGTCTCCTTTCGTGGCCTTCCTTGGTGTTTCTGTCTACCATACAATCTTTTCCTTAAAAGTTGAACTCTTTTGCACTCCATGCCAGACTCTGAACTTTTCTTTCATTCATTCCTTCTATCCTTTCTTTCACAAATGCTGGACAACTTACTATATATGCTCAGAGTTGTACTGAGTGCCGGGGTACATCAAGTGCCCTTTTCAAGGAACTTATTATCCAGTGGGGAAAATGGGTAACCACCCAGATATCTCATAAATCAGGGCAAATGCACAGCTGATACAAGTGCTAGAAAGGAATGGTTCTGCGATGCGACAAGAGCCTTTGCTACAATGAGTTGCCTTTAGGAAAATTCTTGAGTTAATTTTTAATTGGGGAAGGCGATGGGAGGGAGAACATTTTGGACAAAGGAAACAGCATATGCAGGGGGCTTGTCAAAAGAAGCGGTCATGTTCCAGCAGCTGAAAGGACAGTGTGGCTGAAGGACAGAGATCAAGGAAAGATTTGCTGCAGGATGAGGAGTAGAACACGCCAGACCTTCTGGGTCTGTTAAAAATGTTGGCCTATTCTTGCAATTCTGGGGAGACACTTAGGTACTTCAGGAAGTGTGGTATAGGTAGGCCCGGCGAAAACAATCTCCATTTCAAAGCTTTGGACTCAGCACCAGGCAGCATGAGCTGTACCTGGTGCAGGTGGCCCCAAACCCTGAGCCTCATGCCCATCCCAAGAGTGTCTATGAATGGAATTGTGAGATGTTGATCTTCGGGGAGAAGAAAAGATTTTTTCATTCATTGCTTATTTGATAAGATTTTGTTTACGACGTCTGTGTTGGTCAGAAAGTACATTTGGTTTTAATTTTCCGATTTGGCATACATTTTATAGTTGTCTATGAAGGTTCCATTCGTGCTCTCATTTCCACATACGGATGGATATTATAACCCAAGAGCAGATCCTGAACTGTACCTTACATAGCTAAGTGGTGATATAAACACAGCCCTGATTCATGAATTTGCTAATGGAATGTGACTGACCAAATGGGCAAGTGATTACTCTTCAATATAAATGCATTTGTCTAGATTGGGTAGTAATAATAATAAATGGCTTCTCATACCTAGATGTATACAATAAATCTAATTGAGGCCACTTTGCTCCAGTTGTAGTGACAGAAACACAGCACCTCATTTAAAAGTAATTTCACTTTGCCAACCAGATTAGCAAAATCATACGCAGAAACATTAAGTCACTGTGCTACGCAACCAAAGTCACACACTTAGCCACTTGTTCTAAGCAATAGCTTTCGTTTTTGCATTCCGAAAGTCATGCATCTCCTATTAAAAGTAGGCAGCGTACTTTTTCCTTCTGTTCTGGGTCAAATGTTGGGCTCTTTGTCATCTATAGATCAAGCTTCTCTGTCGTATAATTGCAGTTCCTTCCATTGCTCAGTTGGACTTGTGCTCATTCTGAATTCCTCATGAGGGCTTTTGCAGATGATACCAAAATGGATTTTTTATCATAATTTTTTTTATGGCAGTAGAGCTTTCAAATGTTGAAAAGTTGAGTGTGACAGAAAGCAGAAAGATATTGCAATAAACCTTTCTGCTCATATTGAGCCAATGGATGGATTGAATTTTTCTGCTAAACTCTGACAGTGCTCATGAATACCCAGCCACTCCTCTTTGTCTCTGTACCTTTGTGGAGTTCAGTTCTCACCTTTGTACCTGTGGGACTCCAGAAGGTGTAGTCCTTACTTAATCTTACCTTTGTGTTGAGCTCATGGGTAACACGACTTGATCTATATATATTCATTTATTTAACAATTGAGTGCCTATTATGAGCCAGGTGTTTTTGTAGACTTTGGGGATGGAGAGTGAACAACGTAAATTCCCTCCTCGCATTGCACTTCTACTGTAGAGCTACTGTGCTTACAAGTAAGTAACTCAACAATGAGAAGTATATGGTGTGTCAGATATGATGAATGCCATGAAGGGAAGGAAAGCAGCGTAAGAAAGAAGAGGGAGTGTTATAGTTTCTGTGGTGGTCAGAGATCAGTCATTTACAAGGTGTTCCTTGTTAACCATTTGCTTTGTCTCTAACAGTTATTTGTGAGTAGTGGCATTTTATATCCTGTTAGTTCAGATAATTTAGAATACATTGATGAGACTTTTTTAAAAAATATATTCTATTGATTTTTTCACAGAGAGGAAGGGAGAGGGATAGAGAGTCAGAAACATCGATGAGAGAGAAACATCGATCAGCTGCCTCCTGCACACTCCCTACTAGGTATGTGCCCGCAACCAAGGCACATGCCCTTGACCAGAATCGAACCCGGGACCCTTGAGTCCGCAGGGCGACACTCTATCCACTGAGCCAAACCAGCCAGGGCCATTGATGATACTTTTATTGTCCAACTCTTAATGTATGAGAACAGTAAAGACTTTAAAAAGTTCCCAGATTTCACTGTTTGAAGAAAAGCCCTACACCTGGCATTTGCTAGTGATCACCTATAGAAATAATTGCTACATCACGGGGCTGTTCTGTGCCATATGTCTCATAGTCTCCTTCTTCTACTACCCTCCTCTCACTCATATTTTAAAGTTATGTGATTAAACTTGTGCAGTGTTGTACAGAATAGGACTTTTATTTGGCATTATGCTTGGTGTTTGCTTTTTTTGTGTGTACTCTGTCCATCTTCATTCTGATTTGGCTCATTTTTATTTGAAATGGTTTAATTGGGAATTAAGAATTGCTTTTTTGACCCTTGTATTCTGCAGGGATTTGATGCCAGTTACACTTTCTGATTCTTTCACTAACTAAACAGTGGACTTGCTGAAACCATTGATGGCCTGTTTGTCTTCATGCCATGTACACTGGGTCTTACTGATTGATGCTTCTCCTTGATTGATGAATTAGGACAGAAATTGTTTGGGGCAGAAACAGGTAAAATGTCAGCAGGTGTTGTCACAGGGAACACACTCTTTCCTAGGGTTTAGCCCAGGACACATAGTCCTTCATTCTCAATAGTTTATTGTCCCCTCTCAAAATATCTACCCCTCAATATTTTCTGGCAACTCTTTTTGGACCTCTGTTAATGTAGCATCTTCTTTCAAGTTGTGGATTTGGTCCTCTCTTGAGAGCCACTTTGATCATTCAACACTGTATTCCTTGGACCTCACATTCAGCCTGGAGTTGTTGCCCATTTGATCCCCACCTCTAATGACTATTTCAACACCTTGAGTTCTGTCTACTTCCAACTGGCTGCTCCAACCAGGACTTTTCTTGAGGAGAGCCAGCCTGACAGGTACTCAATTTATAGGTTTCTCTTGACTCCTGGAGAACTAGCCTGATTCCAACCCAACTAGATTATTCCCCAAAGGAAATTCTCTCATATTTCATTGTTTAAAGGTACTTTCCAGTAACTCTGACATAAAGATCACATTTCCCTGAATTTAGGCAGATTGGGGACCATGTGACTACTCTGAAGCTTAGTTTTAATATCTGTAAAATAGGATTTGAAATACTTTCTTCATAGGGTTTATTGTCAGAATTAAGTGAGCGATATAAAGTGCTTAGTAAGGTGTTTGACATAAAGAAGGACTCCATCAATGTTAGAATTCTTCTTTCCCCCCTGGTACCCTCCCTTTTATCTTCCTTGTCCTGAAATACACACAAGATGGCAGCTGAGCTGACCATCTACCTTTTGTGGATATTATAAAATGTCAACATCTGACTTATCCCTACACCATTATATGCTAAAGGAATCTCTAATCCATCAGCAAGTTATTGAGCACCTAACTATTTGTCTGCCAGATGCCAGAGAAGATTTGAGACTGTGAAAAAGCAAAATAAAACAGAGTAGAATGTGGTTACCTGGGGTTGGGGGTGGGGGGTTGGGAAGATGTTTAAAGGTGCAAACTTGAAACTCTTGGTAAGTACGTTCTGGAGACCCAGTGCACAGCATGGTGATTGGAGACAGCAGCACTGGATTATAAACTTCAGAGAGACTAGATCTTAATTGTGATAGAGGTGTTAGCTAATGCTACTGTTTCACAACATATAAGGTATCAATGCATCCCTTAAATTTATATAATGTTATGTGTCAATTACAACTCAAAACAAAAAAAAATACTTTTGTCAAGGAAACATGCCTGTGTGAGAATAACAACAAAAAAACCTCACTTTATGTAGTTCACAAAGGGCTTTGACTTTGTGGTTTCATTTGATCCTCCTGTCAATCATCCCTGTAGTACAGCTAGAGAAACTGATTCCCAAATAGGTTAATAGGCTTGCTCAAGGTCAGAGGTAAGACGTGGCAGGGCTAGGACCAGATCCCAGACTCTCTTTCTCCAAAACAATTCTTTTGTTTTGTTCTACACAGTATCTCTGTTTGTCTCATGTGCACTCAAGAAAACTCAAGAACAAAGCAA